CAAATTTTGTATTTTTTGTATACGATACAAAAATCATTATTCGAATATATAGATTGCATATAGCCATTATTATCATCATCATTACCTTTATTATTATTAAATGGTCAATGGCAATCAGCATAGCTATATCCAATTATTCATTATATTATATGAATCTAACCGAATCTGTAACATGAACCCAAATGGAACTCTAGAATAGAGTTGAATGAATCACCACTAACATATACAAGCACATACATACACACACACACACACAATTCTATGAGTTTCCATTTCGTTTTTTTTTTTGTTTGATTTTCTCATTTTTTTTTTTGGTGTTGAACAGAATTGTATGATAATGTTGATGACGACCATATATTGTTGTCTCTATCATCATGGACATTTTAGCAACTACAATGATGATGACCCATTCTAGGTTATTGTGTATGTTTATGTGGATATCTTTCGCTTCAATTAATCTTTTCATTAAAAAACAACAGAAACATTATCAGAGATACTTAATATGTGTGTGCAATGATGCGATAGATAACAGGGATATAGTTACAGTTACAGTTACAGTTTGGCTATTCTTTGATGAGAAATTCTTGAAACTTTTTATTTTCATCTATATCCAATGCTATTTATCCATTCTTTCATTGCTATTTAGGTCCATCAATGAAAGCTATTTTTCCTTGCCAATAAGCATCATCTTTATTTGTTTTTTTTTTACTTTCATTCGAATTGGTAAATAGATTTTTTTTTGTCGTTATTGTTATATGTTGTTCAGGTCGAAAATAAATTTTTGAAATTTCTATGAGAAATGGTTTGTGCTACTTGTTTGATCAATGGCAATTCATCTAATCCACATCGATTTAAAACTTCTATACAAATATATAAAGAGTAAATGAAAAAAAAAATGTAAAACCATTTGACCATAATCGGTCATCATCAAAAAAGAATAATGATCATAATCATTATATATCAACAACATACGTTATTCGTAAAGCTAAATATTTTCATTGATTACGGGATGGGTGCATAAAGTGGAAAAAAATTTATTTTCTTGTTTGCTTTTGTGAATATTCTAAACTCTTGAAAAATAAATTTGAACTTGATGATGATGATGATGATGATCATAATGATCAAGCTGAAGCTGGTCAATTTATGATTGTTTCCGTAACGCTACCATTCTAAATGTCTTGTATACAAATATATTTTCGGGTGTATACGGCTAAAGCAGCTGATTTCGAACAATGATGATTCCCCAGATGGACATTGAATCTAAAGTTGCACCACACGCAGCCATTAAAGTTCGGCATAATTCGGATTCTCTAGAAAAAAGTGCCAGTACAATGCACTTATCTTTTAGATGATGATGAAAGTCATTGTCTTATATAATACACTCAGTCAATGTCCAACATTATTTTATTCATTAAAATAAAGGCCTGGCCAAAAAAAAACCTCTGCCATTATCTTAATCAAACTTTTTTTTTTTTGTTACGATTCTTTCTTACCATACTATACACATTTTCTATGCGTGCGTGTGTTTGTGTTACTTATGATATACGAGTGTACTTTCTCGAAAATTTTTCTACACACTCAAGATTCATACTTTCATGTAAAATAAAAAAAATTTCAGATTTTTGTTTCATTGTTTTTCCATAGAATTGTATCTGGAATATAGTTTCATTTGAATAGGGCTCTAGCGACTATCTATCTATCTTGTGAACAAGAAAATAGAAAAAGATCATCTTTATAATCATAACAATTCGCATCGAAAATAGTGGAAAACTATGCCATTAGTTTCTTTGATCATAATCGCTTCCATTACATTATTGACGATAAACATTTGATTTCAAACGTATTTTATTTATTTCATATGAATTTCATATTTTCTAACTATCGGGACCGATTTCGATTGATCAAGTCTGAATGATAAAATTGCTGAGAACAATATTGTAGACAGTAAATGTTGGAGAAAAATGAAGAATAAAAAAATCGATGAATTGAATTTTTATGGTTATCGATAAAGATATGGCAGTTGCGCTGAAAGGAACGCCAGATCATATTTATAGATTTATTTGTTTATGTTGAAATATGGATCCATATCTGTGGAAAGAAAATATCAATTTTCAATTGTCATAAATGAACATACAAACATTTTTTCAGATCAATTTTGAATTGCTTCAAACATTTCGAACAATATTTAGTTTTATGGAACGTTTTTTTCGGTGGGAATTCTTCTTGACACTAAATTATCATGTGTTTATTGTGGATTGAATTACAGCACAAGAAGATGACCAAAAGATAACTGTGTGTGTGTGTTATGTGAGAATGAAATTTGTGATTCACTTTCTTTTGGTTGAAATTCAATATCACTGTTTGGAAGAGAATTTTTATTTTCGTAAACATTATTCAGTCTTTTCCGTTAGTTTTAGAGTCTTTGAATTTGATGATTACTACAAAAAATTTAGCTCCGAAGAATTTCCAGAAAGAAAACTTTAATCTGTTAATTGATTGAATGAATTAATTAATATTGAATGATCGTATACAAAACAGTAAAGAAAATCGATTTAATCGATTCATAGACAATCGATAATTTTTATTTTCGTAAATAATTGTACAAAATTTTTTGAAAAGTTTGTTCGCTCACTTGATGTGATGATGACTTTTTTATTTCAGCCAAATCTTTAATTTTCAATATTTGATTCATATCATTGTTTTGTGTAAACCAATTGGAAAAAAATGTGGACATTTCGTGAACCCATTTATATTCCATCATCATTATATGAAGATAGGCTACACACAAATACGTTTTTTAAGGCTTGTAATCCAATGAGACTAGAATCAAGTAACCAGAAATATGGTTCAAATCAAACTTTTTTTTTTGTTTTCGCTGAACCAGCTGTTTGGTTTTTTCCTCTTATTTTTTGGGTTCGATTCTGTCCATTTTTTTCTGTTCAATTTTTTTCGATTCTCGTTCCATTCATTCCGAAACTTGATTTCTCTCTTTTTTTTGTTTTTGTTGTTGGTATTTGCAAAGTTAGCGTATTTAATAAAATAATGGCCAACATACAGATATCGTTTTTTTGTGTGTTTACTGGAAAAGTCAACAACATGCCTAATTTAACATGCGAATCAAATGGAATTTTCTATTTTTTTTTCACTCATTCACAAACATATACTTCATATATGTGTGTTTGTTTATTTGCGATACCAGACACTATTATTGTTAGTATTCATCAATCTTTAATTTTCAATGTATATAACGATTAGATGGATAGCCCCTAAAATGAAAATTATTATTGTATTAATTAATATAATATAATAATATTCCTATGAACCCTACGTATGAATGAGCATGGAAATTTTTATTTTAAAAAATTACAATCAATTATTAAACAAAAGAAAAAAAATAGTCAAACATTCATTATTGATAATTTTTTTTTGACTGAATTAATGTAAACCGTTAATGTACAATTTTTGTTTTCCCGTTATCCCCAATGTTGCTATTTATGCTTTTTGTTGCCTGGTATGGTGAGAATCGATTTTTTTTCACCCTTCAATTGTTGAAAAAAAAGATGGCTACTTATTGGTGGTTATTTCCCATACTGCTCAAATCCATTTATATAATTGTTATAATAGTCAAACTCGGATCGTACTTTTAGATGCGGAAACCAGAATATTAACAACTTGCTTAGTAATGGTAGTAGTAGTGAATTCAAGTGAATACAATTCATTCATTCGGTAATCATATTGGATGTATTCGAGAGAAAGAGAAAAAACAGAATTCTAGTTAGAATTTCTTGGTAAATATTTTTTTTTTTGCTCGAGGTCAAATAAATGTGAATGTTCGTTAGTACCACAAAATAATTGATGATCTATACATTGTATTTTCAAAATGGATCTTTCCTTTTGAGTGTGTGTGTGTGTGTGTTTTCCGTTACTTATTTTTTTTCAATTCTATATATAAATGTTCTATATGACTAACTACGATTAATTCTTCACGACACTTTTGTCTAGTTTTATTTTTTATTATATAATAATAATAATATACAAAGCTCATATTCAAAATTCAACCAGACATTTTTTTCTGGTTTACTTTTACTCCCTTCTAGCTGACAGATTTTTTTTCTTTAGTTGTTGTTGTTGTTGTTGTTGCTTTTCACTTGTATATTTTTTTTCTTTAGCCAAAAATATATACAGAGTATAGCCATATATAATTCTGATGCTCATAAATTAGAGACGTTTTTCTTTGTTATTTGAAAAGCACTTCTAATTTGTTCATATCATTCATCTGGAACATTTGAAAACGATTTCCTCTAATCACAACAACACATGAAAATAGTGAAAAAAAGTTACATATAAATATTAAGTCAAGTGTTGTGTTTCGGGTTAATTTGGTAGTAGTTTTATAGGAATGAATTTCGTTTTGTAAACTTTTGAAAAAACATCCACTTGTATGTTTGTATTTTTCCAATGGCAAACTATGACATATGATGATTATCATTCTTTTCAATTTTAACTTATAGAATCGATTTCTAAATCTTTGTTTTATTTTGTTTCATTTTTTTTTCTTGTAGCTCTTTTTTCTTGAACCGTCATCATCATCATCATCATCATCATCATCATTGCGATCATAACCGGATTCTTTTTGCTTCCATCTTGACATCTTTTTTTTTGTTCTTCTTATGTATTTTGTTCTTGGTAATCGATCGAATTGATCTAAGTAAATCATACGCCTATATTGTTAAATCGATCGATATTATTATTATTCGCTCAGGCTGCGATCATAATCGATGGCAACAACAACAAACTGCTCAACTATTCAAAAAATGTCTTGCCAAAAAGAATTGACAAATAATAAGGTTTTAAGTGGTAAATGTTGGTATTATCATCATCTTCATCATTGTCTAGATGATGATGATGATGATAGTGGTGCTCGGCAAAAAAAATATCGATTATTAAGATTTTGTAAAAAATTCTATAAAGCTGACCAAAATATATCATCATCGTCATCAACGACTTTTATATTCAAATATCATCATCATCTTCATGATCATTATCAGAAACGACATTTATCAATCATCATGACCATCCTTATGATTGCATGTTTTGCATATCTTTCCATATCCGAAGTTGCCTTTTGTTTGCCTGAAAATATGAAAGATTCAAATTTAAACAACAACAGAATTCTACCAAATTATAATGATAAAAATGATCAATCTGTTACGATCAGTCGGCGGAATATTCCTTATGATGATCAAAACAATCATCATCATCATCATCATCATTATATGTCTCATCGTGATGTTATTGTTAATCATAAAATCATGAATCGAAGATTAAAACGAGATTTATTTATATTCCCTGAAAGTGAAAATGTTGTCTACAATCATAATGACAATGGTGAAAATAGTAGTTTGGATCGACAGACACGGTAAGTGCTTAGTGCTAATTTTTTTTTTCATTTCCTAGACAAAGTCTTAAACCTTTTTAGTTTTTGTTATTTCATTGAATCATCAAAGCCTGAAATTGTTTCAATTTTTCTTATACCGCTTCACAATTGTACGTTATTGTACGTTGTGAATATAGTTGAGCAACAACAATAATAATAATGATGATGACGATGATCATTGTTGTTGTATACTGCCATAAGAATGATCTTCCTTGTTCATGTAGGCTGCATATAATTTCATAGAATGTATAATTACACATTCATGCTTGGATCTAACTTCAATTTCGAATTCTATACATTTCATCCAAAAGAAAATATAAAAGAATCATTTTATTTTATTTTATTTTTTTTTGTTGCAAAATCCATGAATGATATGAAACAACGGGGCACAATGATGATAACAGATCTGGTGATGAAAATGAAAATGTGGCATGATGATGTTGATGATGATGTGTTTCGTTTTCTTTTTTTTTTTTTTTTTGTTGTTGTTTTTTCCTGTTTCTGTTAGTGGTTTTCCATTATGGACATATCAACATTATTATTAGAAACATGGAATAGTAAAGATAAGAGATTTGATTTTCAGAATTATTTTCTCTTTTTATATTTCAAGTTTCCATTTTCATTTGGTTTTTTTTCTGGTTATGAATTCCTGATATAGAATTATTGTCATCATTAATGTTCTCGGTGCGGTGTTTGAATATGAATAATTTTTGGCCTGTTTTCATCTTCTTTTATATAATTCTGGTGTATTACTGTGAATATCAATTTGATTTTCGCATTTTTTTTGTCTCAAATGTTTGAATCTAAAATTTTCATTGATCATGATTATTTGAAAATGATGTTATGTAAATATATTGATTTTGGCACGAGTTTCCTTTACAAAATGTTACGTGTTCACACAGTAGATCCTGTATTAGGTTGTTGGAATCATTTTTCTAATAGCCAATATACAATTTGTTGGATATTTTCTTGATTCAATTTTATATTTTATATTTTTTTGGTCACGAATTTGTAATGGAAAAAAATAGGGAAACTAAGATTTTTTTTGTTGTTGTTGATAGATTTACAATGCTGTAAAACGAAATTTCTTTCCTATACACATTTCTCTGTATATATATTTATCATTATTGAAACGATTTATGTTGGCCTGATGGTACAATGTGTCAAAAAAAAAAAAAAAAAAATAAATAAATTCCTGTCAGCCTTTTTTAAAATTAAATTCTTTTGGTATTGAAAATTCTTTTTTTTTCTTCTTTTTGCACTTTGCCGTCGATGTTTATTACATTCATTGGAAATAAAATTCATGTTTGTGTTTGTGTGTGTGTGTGTGTGTGTGTGTGTGTTTGTATCGTGGTCGTTTGGATGAATTTCCAAGAACGCAGTACACCACTACCACACACAGGACCAGAGGCAAATTTATTTCACAATTTTTTTTTCAAAATATTTTTTGTATTTTTTTTCGCCATCCACATTTCACTAAGTGGTTGTGTCTGTGCACAAGATGATTATTTTATTTAGAATTTTTTTTTCTAACGATCACAATTTAAACACATTTGGGTTGGATAAAATTAAATTTCTATTCCAATGTTGTTAAAACGGATTGCTATATTTGTCCACTGTTTGTATGTTTATTTTTTTTTGCCTAGTGTCTCTATATGTTTGTCTATTGCCGGTTTATCAGAATCGGTCGAATCAAGGAACCCTCTGGCCATGTCTATGTATATCAAAGTGGTATCCGATGATGAAAGTTTATGGACTTTGATGAGGAAAGGACAAGAATGAGGAAAGTTGGAAAAAAAATGGCAAACGCAATCAATTTCCTTTGATGTGAAGAAGAAAAAATAGTATTATTGAAGCAGCAGGTTTATGTTGGCTATGGCTTATGTGTCAAAGATTGACATGACACATAAGGTTCCTTAACTAGTATACTGTGAACTGAAACGAATGAGAAATGTAGTTGACATTTTCTCTCTCCTTTTTCTCATTTCCATCCAGTGAAACCATTTTTTCCATTTGGTAGAATGTCGCGGTAGAATGATTTAGATAGGGTCGGCTTTGTCAGTTATGTGTGTGTGTGTGTGTGTGTGTAGATGAGATTTAATTTCATTTTGATGCAATACAGTTTTTATATTTTTTTATATATATGGTATGATTCGGTGGTTTGTCAGAGAAAATTCTTGCTTACCAGAAAAAACAAATCAAAATGAGTCTCATCTCAATGATGAGAAAAATATTTTTTTTTCTTCAAAATGGAAAAAACGAAGGATTTATTCTATGTCTGTATGATGTTCCATTAAGAATGTTATGAAATGCGATCTGCATTTTTTTTCCTTTTATTTACAATTTTGTTTGTTTGTGCATGTTTATGTCTGTGGTTTTTTTCTGGTTTTCCGGTTTTACAGTTGTTGTTGTTTTTTTGTCGTTGTTGTTTGCCGAATTTTTTACCATTTTTTCTCCATTATTCTTCATCATTCAACGATTTTGGTATTTCCATTCCTTATGATTATGGTTCATCATTGTTCGCTCTATTTAAACCGCCACCAATCATTAAGGAAAAACGCATTGAAAGTTTTCAGATTCCTATTGTACTTGTAGATAAATAGATAGACAATACTGTTTTATCGATTCATCGTGGATTCCCAATGTTCATATGTATCGATGAAAAAAGACTATCGGTTTTCTCTTTTAAAAAAAGGAATCGGATTTTTTCTCCGCACCAAATTGTTTGAATCATTATTTATTTATTAACATATATGTTAAAGAAAAAGTTTGAATAAAATCAAAAATATTGCAACATTCTCGTTTTTTATCAAACACACAGTTTGACTTTGTATTTGATTTAATTTCGATGGCTTTAGGATTCGATATATATTGTTGAATTTAAATTCAAATCAATATTCAATTTTATTTTGCTTTAGTTTTGCTCAATTTTCAAGGATGAAGATTTTCTGATAGGATATTCTGTCATACATATGTAGACTGGTTTTTTTTGCTTGCATCACATCTTTTTTGCCAATGGCCAATATTCATATGGAAAAAAAAGTTTTTCCCGCAACGAACATGGATTCTTCCATGATGATAATAAAGGGAACATTATCGTATGACACACACACACACACACACACACACACACACAACAAATGAATTTTTTTCTGATCAAAATAAAAGAAATTGACATACGTTTCTATGTTATAAGAATGGAATTCAAAATTTGATTCAATTCGACTGAACGTGACATTTTATCATATCGAATGATCATGATCGTGCAAATTCTTTACATCATGACTATCCGCTGATAGCTATACCTAAAAAAAATAATGATGATTATGATTATAATCATATCAATGTCAATACGGCGAATGACCATTTTTGGAATAAAATTCAACTATACAATCTGAACAAAATGATTATATATTGATGATGAAATGGAATTTCACCGCAGAAACTAAATCGAAATTTTTATATGAAATGAAAAACAGGCGAAACAGGAGAAAAATGGTTATTGTATCCATTTTTGCTTACAATTCTATTTCGATTGCTTTATTCATCGATGATAATGGTAATGTAATTCTATTAAATACGGCGGTGATAATGATGATGATGATGATGATGATTTGATCCTAGCTCATTACATGAATCTTCATTGCTTTGATTTTTTCCTTTTTCATCGTATTCGTTTATTGGTTGTCATCAGTTTTTTTTTCTGCTTTCACACTTTGTATTATTATTATAACTATAATCATATATAAAATCATCGTTTAGACAACATAAGACATATCCGTACAAAAGTCATTCAAGGATTTTTTTTTTTTTGTTGTTGTTGCCACGAACACCATAACTATTATAACAGAGATTTTTCCCTAACGATTCTCTTAAGAATAAATCGAATTTTATCCTAACCATGAATTTTTTCTCTCTTTTTCTGGTCATGTTTCTTGATCTGGTATCTGCATGTTGAATAAATATTAGCAATGTTTGCACATTATTTGAAACAGAAGTGTCGTTGATGTTTTTTCCTTTTTTCTTTTGCTCCAATGTCCAAATCTCATGTGATTAGTCGTTTTGACTTTTGCTGATTCCATGTCGTTTTTTTTGGCGCTAACATTAGTTTTTATTTCAAGTTCATCTTATAGCTACCCTTATATATCCAAGCATAAAATTCTCTATGAATTGCCATTTGGTTGTGTTCTTTTTTTCATATTGGTTTCCTGGAATTTTTTTAATTTCTTTCTCTCATTCGCTTCAATTCATCCTCAATTGTATATCAGGCTTGTATTAAAACTACTGTTTCTTTTTCTCCTTGTTCTTCAAATTCAAATTGAATGATATGAAACTGAACAAAATAAAACGATTCAAATAGTGAAATGAGAAAAAAAAGTTCCATCTTTTGATCGACTATTGACATAAAGCCATCCTATGGTCGTTATATTATATGAATGAAAATTGTTCAATCAAAACTGAAAAAAAAAAGTTTCAACGGTGCTGTTTTTCAAACAGCAGGGATTCAGCAATGATGATACTGAAATCTATTTTTTTTTATCATTTTGCTACAATAAAAGAAAAAAGAGTTGAAATGAGAAATAACTTTGCCGATATATGATATATGATGGAAATGTTGTGCAATCAACCCTTTATCATAGTTGGTCTTTTGAACATTTTCATTGGTTTTTCTGTTTCTATTTCTGTTTCAGTTTTTGTTTTGTTTTTTCATTGAATTGTTCTTCTCATTCGAATGAATTCTATGCAATAACAAAGAAAAACAACATACACAATGAAATAAAAATATGAAAAAAATATTCGATTTTATCTATTATTGTGTTATTAACGCTTCGACAATGATTCAGAACACAAAAGAATCCAAAAATGGAAAAATTTCCTTTTCCTTTTATTCTATTTTATTCAAGAAAATTTTGATGCCAATTTCGCATCGTTTATTTTTTTTTCTCTTTCCCGTTTCATCATTGCATTAGTTCCGGAATTTATATTTTTCCATAATGATAATGATTGTGATGATTCTATTATTATTATGGATGAGTGAACCAAGTGGAATTATTATTTCATTTAGATTAATAATGGAAAAGTGTTCAATGATTGAATGATGAAATTCTAATCATAATAAAAATTTAACTGTTTTTCATTCAAAGCTTAGAAATGATTAATATTTGATTTTTTTTTCTTTTGTTTACTCTTTATTTTTCCAATTTATTTCCAATTCATAGAGAGAATCATCAAATGAATCAAACCACCAATCGTAGTTATGAATGTAAGTTGATTGATTTACAATTTGATTATTGAATAAAATTTTTTACATTATTTATGTCTTTTTCAAATTTAGCTTGTCCATCAAAAGAATGTTTTCGTAAAGTGGCCAATTTTGAACGTTATCTTCGATTATATGCACCGAAAAGTCAACAGATGACACAATTTGAATGTGTACTTCGAGATGTAAATATCTATTATCTATTTCATTTAAAGTTCATTAGTTTTATGTTTTAATTTTTTATATTCAACACTATTTACACTCATTTTTTTCTTTTCATATTTGTTTTGAACAGATTTTCTTTAATTGCATCAAAGATACTGCACATAAACAGCCAAAAAAATGTGTAAAAAAACGTTATGATCAAATCAAAAAACGTATCGCTAAACTTTTATCCGAAACTCGTCTTTGTATTGGTGGTCGACGTCATACGATTCCAACTTTATTTAACGGATTTTCATCTAAATAATGATCACATCCATGCCATCATCACATACAATACTATTTGTTATTGATCCCGAATTTATTTGTTAAATTTCTACTACTAACCATCATCCATTCTATTGATTTGGAATCTACTGTAATGTATACATTCACAGGGAATCAAATCTGTAACCAAATAACATTTATATGAATCTCTTATAAAAAACATGACAAACATACGATATACGATGGATTTCCATTCCCTTATATTATCATTCTCTTTTAGTTTGTTTTGTTCATTTAATCAAGTAACATGGAAAAAAAAGTTTTTTTTGTTAATAAAAACCTTGATGATGGAAAAAAAATTTATTTCTTCAAAAATAAAACAAGAATAAAACTTTTATTTCATTTTATTTTTATTTAGTTTCTAAATCAATTTATTATTTTTTGTTCATTTGTTAGCTACTGCTGGATAATTGGTCATTTTCTTTTTTTTTTTTTTTTGGTTCACTATTCTTAATGTCAATCAGATCGATCAAATTCGGTCACAATTCTCTAATAGATTAAATCTTCTTAGTTTTTCTTTTGGAAAAAATTTTTTCTTGTCAAAATTTCACAAAGGTTTCTTTTTTATCTATCACCCTCAACGTAAAACAGTTTCACTTCAACGGAATCATTATTTTGGATTTTTTTTCGTAAATTTGGTTTTCTCAATGTTTTTAAACGCTTTCTATTTTTAAATGTTTGTCATACAGTTATTTATTCAGTCTCTATAGGATCTTTTTGAAAAAAATAAAAGAAAATTTTAAAAAAAAAACAAATAGACTAGATTAAGCCTAGCGTATGATGACAATATTCGTTGAAAAAATGACAATTTTTTTTTGTTGGCTTTTTGTATGTGGTACTGTGTATCGAGCTTCAATATTTTCAATTCCAGTATTAATCCTTCCATGTAAGATTTGGTTGTGTGTTTGTTTGTTCAATTGTAATTTTTATTTTAGTTTGATTATTTGGGTTTCGAATTCTGTTGTCGTTTTCATTCACCGGATCTTTTGTTCGGATTTATGCCCTATGTTCAATGTTGACAATATAATAAAAAAAATTTCATCGCAGATTCAATCAGGTTATGTTCACTTGCGTAGGTGATTATGACACAAATTCTATTTTCTAGAATATTCATAAAATGATCAGGAAAAAAATCTATATCTAATCTTTAATAAGAATTTATACTATTATTCTAAATAAACAACAAGAATGAATGACCAAAATAGAAAAAAAATAAAGAATAATGTCATACTGAATTTAGAAGAAAATTTTTCTCTCTCGTAAAAAAATTCACATAGATCCACTCGAACCATACAAACAATAAATGTGATTAATGATCCAATTGATGATCGAGATATTTTTTTTTTTTTTGAAACTTTCAAGTTTTCCACCCACAGTGTTGCAAATGTGTTTATGAACGATGTAGATGTGAGTGTGACATCAAAATTCTTTATGAAATAGAATTTTCGATTTTTTCTTCCTCACCATTTGGCGATAAATTCCGGCATGATAGATGATTGTTTTTTTTTGATGTCATTTTCACACATAACATACGTATGATCATTGCCAGACTTTACAAATAAATTCACCGTGGTCACGCGGTTGGACGTCTTTATTTTTCTATTTTCATGTTTTTTTTTGTTTTTGTTTTTAATTTTCTGCCTGATGATATATAAATAAAATACACCACGTCAAATACACATTTATCCACGGATGTAAAAACAAAAAGAAATGAAACAACTCATGGAAAAAAAATTCATGAATTCATAAACGAATTTTTTCTACTCGCTGCTAGTATGATGATATTTTTTTGAACTTTCAAACCAATTTAAACAATAACTGTTTTGGCTTTTAACCAAAAAAAAGGAGAAAAAAATTTTAAGAATAAAGAATGAACATCAAACACCAGTTTTATGCATACATTTTGTTCATTGTACAATCAACAATCAAGATGATGATGATGATGATGATGCCAAAAACAATAAAGTGAAAAAAAAACAATGAAGATGAACAAATGGCCGCATCAATTTAGAACCTCAAATATCGTGCTTTTACGGAACACAGTACAAAGAGAGAGTGTATAAATCAGCCAGCAAAAAAAACGAATCCATTCAAACGAATGCCGTTGGTTGCATTATTTCTGTTATTATCCAACAAACGAGATGTATGTGCTTTTTATTTGAGGCTTTGAAATTTATTTTTCATTTTTTTTTCTTCATAAAAAAATAGCAGGAACTTTATTATTTTTTTCCACTAAAAAACTGAACCTAAACAATCTTAGGTCTTTATTATAATAGTTTGCTTCATTTTTCGATAGATCGTATCCAAAATCGACAAAAAAAAGTAATAATAAACTTAACGTTTCAAACGCGGAATAAAACATCACATTATAGTGGTAAAAACCACAAGAATGTTTTTCACTTCTCTTAATCATCATTGATGATATGAGTCTTTTTATTTCCTAGATCCATCATCATCTACAGAATGGATGTATGAATAAATTAACCGATTAACGCATATAAGGTACATTAAAAGCTTTCATCATTATCAAATAGAAGTACCTAAAAAATTAATCATTAAATTTTTTTTTGTTTTGTTTTTTGCAAAAGAGGTTGTGAAGAAGAATTTTTTATATTCTCTTATTTTGACAACCTAAACGACTAATCGATGAATCAATAATGGGAAAATTTTTTTTTCTTTTGATGTTTCAACAATATATTTTTGCACAAATTATCCATTAATGATGTTTTCTATTAAAATATCCATCAGAGTTGAAATTTTTTTTTCGATCAAGTAGCTGTCTTCATTATTTATAAGAATATTTACTCAGATTGACCATTTAAAATGTTTTTCGGTTCAAAAAAAAAAAAAAAATTCCGGAAGATCAAAAAAAAATTCAGGCCACGATAGTGTTGATGATGAAGAATGTTGATGTACCAATGGCACACAGTACTTTGGTCCAACATCCTAATATAAATAAATACTAACAACAATCAAGAATTGAAAAAAATAGAAAAACATAATAGCTTCTGGCTAGATCTCATCATCTTTGTTGATTTGTTCGAATGATGATGAATGCTTCACTGACTACAACACATTACATTATGTATACATACATGGTACGTCTCATTAGCCAAATAGCCGAATATATACGGAAGAAATGGCGAAAAAAAACAGAAAACTAGAATCTAAAAATCCAGGAACAATAGACTGATTCTTAACAGAATCACCATTTAGCATGTTGTTGTTCTGGATAATGATGATGATTTGTTTCAATGTTTTAGTCCAAAAAAAAAACAAAATTCAACGATGAGAAAAACGTTATCTTTTATTGCTGAAAATGTTCGTTTTTGTGTGTTTACATAAATTTTCTCCTTACAATTCTTTCATTTGGTACATGTTAGCTCAATCATTTTCAGTCATTTTCGATTTTCAGCATCATGCTTGAAAGATCTTTTCATCAATACATCTTCAAAGAAAAAAAATGTTGATTCCAAATACAAAGATAGGGTGATTCGAAAAAAATTGTTTGTGCAAATTGCAACAAGAATAACACTCAATTGCATAAGTAAATAATTTTTCCCATCAATGGGATTACAATCAAACCATCATTTGATCAAAGTTTTCACTTCATCATTATGTACACACTTGAAATTAACATTTGGTTCAATCCATTGACCCGAACACGATTACATTAATTCAAAATGATGATCCAATTCAATCATGATCGCTTATATTTGATAGAATATTAATTTCTTTCCAAATAGAACACTCATACAGTAAAGAGATAGGTTAGAATATTTCTATGAGTTTCTTTTTTTCATAGTTAATCATAAAAAGCAGATGACAGAATCAAATAATTTCTTTATCACAATTAATAATAAAATGATCAATCATAACCGGACAAAGGTCGTTGTCGCTGACCTTTGACAAGTTTCATTCAGCACAATCAATACACATATGTACAATATAATGAGATAGAAAAAAAACCATATACAAAATAATTGAACACCAAAAAAAAAAAAATTTTCATCAATTTTCTTTCGTCATCATACTAGTCGCGTGTGTATGTCATCGCCATCATTACTACAAAATTATAGCTATAAAATAATTTTTTTTATTGGAAATTAATATCGCGTGAAAGCAACTAATAATCGAATATTATTCACATTATCAACATCATCATCGTCATCATCATCATTACTATTATTCTATTTCAAATTTTCAAGCAAAAGAATGTCAGTCATTAAAAGTTGGTCCGACCGGAATATAATTAATGAATAATATTTTTTTTTATCATGATAGCGGTAAATATGAATATAGAACTCATCATCCATAGATTGTTCCATCTTTTGACTATTTTTTAGATATTTTTTTTTTCATTAATGAAAAACACTATAATAATACAGAATTCTATTGTGGTTATGGGCCATGCATTTAGGGTTGCCAAATACAATATGAGAAACAGTGGACTCATTGTAATGAATGACAAACATCATCATCATCATCATTGAATAAATATACTGCTTTATATGTATCCAAAATCATCAATTTATTTTTTTTGTGTGTGTGTGTGTGCGATGGCACAAAACATTGAAATGGTGGATTCATTTTTTTTCACTGTTATATTATATAACTTGCTAAGCATCATTATTTTCATGAACATTATGATGATGATTGTTGTCGTGATCCTGAATGATTATGATGATGATGATGATGAACAAATACGATTTAATAATTATCATCATTCCCCCTTTGTTCCAAATGAAATGATGAAATTTTTATCATTATCAGTGGTGACTGACTCATAAACATATTGTTTATCTGCTTATTATTTTTTTTCAAATGTTTAGCCAGTATGTTTTTAATTTCTCTTTTTCTCCTTGTTAATGGACAAATTTTTTTTTGTTCCACTGAAAAGGTTTTTTTTCTCGAAATGATAAAAAGATGCCCGGAAACATTCATTTTCAAAATGAATGTTCCGTTCTGTTTAATGTAGTTGTTGTTTGGTATTCCGTACCAAAGTGAAAAAAGTTGCCAAAATGAACAAAAAAAAAATCTACATTTGAATTCGCAAACAATAATATATTTACAAATGAATTTTATTATTTTATCATTTTTTTTCAAGTGGAAAAATTTGCAATTATTAATGAAAGATTTGCAACAGAATTAAAAAAAAAAAGATAGATAGATAGTTTGATATTCTGATAAATTGAATCACTGTTTTGGATTGTCCTGAATGAATTGAACATCAATGTGATATTAAAGTGTCAAACAAGTGTGTAGGTGTCACTGACATTAACATAGGTGTTTGGCATTCAAAAAAGAGTCAAAACAAAAATAACAATAACAAATATATAAAAAAAAATCAAACGCAGGTGTATTATATTTTGATTTTTATTCATCATGTAAACATTTCATACCTACGTAATTTTGTCTTATAATACAGAGAATTCAATTTTTTGTTATATATGTGTGTCAGTTTGTGTGTGTGTGTGTGTGTGTCAATATGTCTGTGTGTAATGTTTCTGAATGGCAAAAGAAAGATAAAACCAGATGAAATTACATGATTTGAACATGCACAATATATTTGAGCAACAACATTCGTTTGTTCTGATTTTTAAAAACACCCATCGCTTACAAACGTTAGATAACATAAATAAGAATGGAAAAAAGTAGGAAGAAACTACCACACAATCGGAAATGATTACCGATAGTAAACACTGATTTTGGTGTGTTTGCGAACCTGAATCCATTCTAAGAAATGTGAATGAAATTGTTGATAAAGAAATTGATGTATTTTTTCTGGCGAAATGAAAGATGAAGCATAATGTGTGTATATGTGAAAGTGTGAAACAAAAAAAAAAACAAGAGAAAAACAAAAAGAGAAAAATTCTACATTCAATGTTGTTGAATGAAGTTCACACAACCAGATTACTATTACCAAACAAAAAAAGTGTAGAGCAGGAAAACTTTTGAAGATTTTTGGACCCAAAATACTATCTGGAAACGATTCGATACGATTCAAGTAAAACAGTCGTCGTCATCATCAACATTGATTTAGTCATTGATTGATTATTTGCAGCTTCATCATCTGATCATCTTGGAACGAACAAACAAACGAAAAAACTTAAAGCTATTGGAAACATACACAATGTGATGGTGTGTATGGTACAACCAAACGATTTTTAATCAAATTTATTTTCAAGTAGTAGTACTATCTCGAGATTTTTGTTTAACAGATGGATGTTAAAAGTTGTTGGAAAATTGACGACGATGAAAAATCAAAGCTCAAAGTGTAGATAGTGTTTTTTTTCTTGGTAGAATAATCGATCGAATTTGTGACTTTGGTGGAACCACACGGGAAAAACAGCTTTTCTTGGATTGTCTGACTGGTTTGATATTTTTTTTAAAGAAGGAATTATTCAAGGCATCCGCACATTGCCAAGGAAAATTTTGCTTGATGTTTTTTCTTGAATTTCATTCAAATATGATGATGAGTGAATGTCGTATGAAAGATGCCTAGTTATTTTTTCAAATAAATAAAAAAAAATTTTTTTTGTTAATATAATTTATCATAGTAATGCTATTATCATTTTTTTTCTGAATGAATGCTGTATGTATAAATGTGTGTAGGACTTGATGGAATTTTGATTCTTGAATTAAAAAAAGATTATATTCCAAATGCAACGCTCATTTTTTGGGCAATAAATAATTTTAGAAATGAAAATCGCATCTTTTTTTTCTTGCTGTTTGTGTATATATTCAAACTAATCTGATATTTCTGGTAAATGAATTCCAGATGTTCTTGTTTGTATGTGTGTGTGTGTGTGTGTCTAGTGGTGATTGTCATAATGATTATTACCTTTTTTGTGCAACCGATAAAAATGAAATTTAAAGATTTATTATTATTACACAGTAAATGAGAAAAAAATTTCGTTTGAATTAGAAATGAAAATGAATATTAAGAAGGCTGTAGCGGATGAAGAAAACGAATACGAATAATGATGATGATAATTGATTGGATAGATGAGCAAAAAAAAATAGATGAAAAATTATGTGTGTTTGATATATCAATAATAATCGATTCGGATTTATCGATAATGTATGGAATTTATCAATGAATTTCAAAAAAAAAAAAATTCATCTGGATAATATTTACAACAACGACAAAGAAAAATCAATACTGGAACAAATACTTCAAGATAAATTGTTTGTTTAGAATTATGGGATTTTTTTTGTTTAAAATTTTCCTCTTCGTTATCAATAAATAAAAAAAAAATTTTCATTTCAATCGATTAGATTTAACCGAAGAAATTCATTTGTGGAATAATGCTCGAACTTTGCGTAAGTGGAATGGTTTCAGTCAATACGGTTGTAACAGTTGTTGGCATTACACTCGTACTTGTTATCGTACGATATCGTGTACTAAATGCATTATAAACTAATGTATAGACTTTTGATTTGGTCATTGTTGTTTCAGTGACGGTCGTCATCGTTTTCAAAATGGTTGAACTTTGTAAAGTTGGTGTCACTTGAAATTGTGGCATCATACCGAATTGTGTGGCAAACATATTTTGTAATTGTGCTTGTTGCATCATTCCATATTGATTATTATTCGCTATGATCGGAATCACTTCAGTTGTATAAGTGTTTACAAGTTTTTCAGTTGTTCCAGTTGGTTCCAGAATCGTTCTTGATCGTGTTTGACGACCATCATAATAGCTGACCAATTTCGTATTATACAATGTTTCCGTTTGCATCACTTTAGTTGGTTTTGTAATCGTACTATATTGAGTGGGTTGTTTCATTTGTTGTTGTTGTTGTTGTTGTTGTAGACCGATATAAAGTGCGGCTAATTGTGGATTTTGAAGAACAGCTGCTAACAAGAGTGGATTGTTTAAATCGAATTGTTGGGCCAATTGATTCGGTTGCTGTGGAAATGCCATCATTTGTGGCATTTGTCCAGCATTACCAAATACTAAACTCGGTTCAATTTGATTCGATGATCCAGATAGTTGTTGTTGTTGATTATCATCATTCAATATGTTTTCATCTAAAATCATTGGCATTTCTGTAGGCAAAATGTTGGCTGTTGAATGAAAAATTTATAAATAATCATTAATATTGCAAAATTAATGGATGATAAAAAAGGAAAATTTACTTACAGTCGACAGAAGTTGGCTGAATAGTTTGTTGTTCGGCCATTGATAGATCATCTACATCGGTACCATTGATAAATGCAGTATTCATTTCCGGATTGAATGCCGAAGTTGATGTACTATCAATCAATATCATATCACCGGGAGGCAATGTCCGATATGCGGTAATCAGTTTGCGAATGAAAAAACTTTCGGTAACCGTATGACTTTGTGTTGTCGTTCCATCGAATACTGGAACAACGGTTGTACGCATTGTTCTTTCAGTTACCGAATAGGTACGTGAAATGACCAAAGCAGGTGTTTCAGGTACGGATGTAGCTTCAATATTATTGCCAACAATATCTAATGTTGGCTGAATAAGATGGGTATCAAATTCTGATTCAGTCGGATGTAATGTTCGTTCAATAGTGGTGGTCAATGTCAAAGTTTTCACTTGAAGATGATTGCCTTCAACGTGTTGTGTTACTTCACTAGTAATCGTTTGTACTTCTTTGACAACTTTCGACGGATCGATAATTAATTTTTCATCTGGATTCTCTTCAACGGTAGAAGCATCCGTAGTTGATGACAAATTTTCCAGAATTTTTCTTTAGTCTCAGCATTGATTGATGGTTTCATAGATTCGATATTAGTATCATTATTATTTGTAGTTATTGCTTCTGCTGTTTCGTCTTTAAGTTCCTGTTCTTTTGAATTATAATAATGCTGCATTTCTTCAGCTTGAGTGGCCGGTAATTTTGATTTAAAACGATTCATTTTAACCTAGATAAATAAAAAATAAAATTGATTTTAACCGATTAAGTATTATTATCATAAATTTTCATTTTTCTTTGATTTTCATTTACTCTTGGTGATTGTCTGGGAGGCAAGGTGAATCGTTTCGATCCAAGTATCTTTAATCGTCGTATTTTAATGTTAGGATTGTTGCTATGATTCTCCAAATTATCTTTGCCATCACCATTATTATTTTTACCATTATCATCAGCATTGTCTTTCAGTTTGGCCCATCGTGATTTCAATGGATTCAATTGAAGACGAGCATTTAAATGTCTAGCCTTGGAACTTTCGACCAATTTTATCGATTTGGCACGAAGTGGATGCATTTTTTTGGCCATTCCGGTAATGGCATTAGTTGTATGTTCTTCTTCATTCCGATGATCATCATCAACTCTTGGTAATGGATCTGAATGTCGTTGTTGTTGTTGTTGTTGTTGTCCATGATGATTATGATAGTTATGATGCTGATGATGATGGTGATTTTGATATGGCATTCGAGTTGATCGAACAATTGAATGGTGGCTATAAGTATTAGTCGGTCGTACAGTTGGACTTGATACATCTTCATTTGGTTTTATTTTTGTGGTACTCGATAATATCTGAGCATATTTACCACTAATATATGTACCGATAACTTTTGTTTCATAAACAGTTGTGGAACCTTCATTAATAACAGTACCACCAAGCACAGTAACCAAACCGGTCGGATAAGTAGGAATAACAGTAGGTTTTGTCGGCTTAATTACTTCGGCAACTGGTACACGTGTTGATTCAATCAATGGTGGTTGAGTGGTCGTTATCGATGATGATTCTCGCGTATTAGAATTTGGTGATGGTGTGAATACAATTACGGTACCATCAACGGTCGTTCGAAAATTCAAAAATCCTCTTACAGTAACCGTTGGCATAGCCGTTGCAACGGCAATACTACTCTGTAATTGTGGTGATCCATAATATTGTTGTTGTTGGCTATCGACAATGAAACCTATATTTTAAAAAAAAATAGACAACAAAACAAAAACATAAATTGATGATTCTAAAAAAGTGTTGACTATGGCTTATTGCCCAACAATCTTATGTATTGAAGTTCTAAGTCAAAATATAAAACAATATTACACATCGATTGACATCCTTGAATAGGCCATGTCGATTCATTCGTGCTTAATACATTGCCTCAACATTGTGTGTGTGTGTGTGTGTTCCAACAATATGACTATTCATTCGTTTCAAGGCACATTATTGTTTCGTGTTTCTCCACTGCTTGTCATTGTCAATTTGTTTTTTTTTATTTTCTTTTCATTTCATCAACGCTATCATCGTTATAATAATCATAATAATAACAACAACAACAACAACAACAAAATAACTTGGTCAGTTGATTATCACTATTTGAGACAACCGTGACAAAAATCATTGTCCTAAATTGATCATATCATCCAAGAAGAAAAAAATATGAAAAAAAACTCCATTGTAATTCATGTATGTAGGTGTATGTCAATTTTAGTAATTTATCAAATGAATAAAAATGTAAACAATGGTTTGATCAAAATGATTGATAATCAACATAAGTAATAATTTGATTTATTTGGCCAAAATATATAATTTTGTTAATGATAGTGATTCAAATGAAATTAATAAAATGTGAATTTTGAATTGCAAATATTAGAAAGAGTATGACAAAAAAAATCTACATAATATGTTGTTGTTGGAAAATGAAAAGGAAATTACGGCCCCTTTCATCCGAATTTGTTTGAATGATGATGATTATGATGTAACAATTAGAAAATTTTTTTTTTACTCATCCTCAAAATGTTATGGATGCAATGCGTGCCAATTCAAACTCGATGATACGCTACATGTTTTACACAAGGTGAAAAAAAAACATGATGATGATATCCACAACAGCAAAAAACGAAACAATAATTAGTTGCTAAGTAACTATAAAATATTATCCTGTTGTAATCATCATCATGATAAATATCAGTTTTTATTCCAACTCTTTTAATGTTTCCTGATGAATCGTGTCCGGAAAAACGATGTAGTTAGGTTGAGGTTTTTCACACACACACACATCTGTGTTTATTACGAAATTTTTTTTCTACATTTTCATCGACAATATTTTCATCGTCGACCAATAATTGTGGCATCGATATTGATGATATCATGAGAAAATTTATGTTCAACTTCATATCATCGACAAATCAATGATTAATATATATATTAACATGGTTAAAGTTTTTTTTTCTAGTTCGTTATGCCCTGTTCGAGTTTTGAATCTAGAAAATTTCATTTTTACCAAAATGATTAATACATTTGTAAAATTGTTAGAGTTATTTTGTGGAAGACAAAATTTTTGTGCACTAAAATCCTGTATATCCATTAGAATTCATCTGCTGCTGTTTTAGATTATCATTATCAGCAGGCATGAATTTGTTTTTCATGGATTCATCAAGGGCATTCGAAAAATGGTCATATCGTATTTTCGATGATGATCCAGAATGATTAAAACATTATCGTGTAGGATGTAATAAAAAAAATTTGAAATCATGGTATTGTGTAGTTTTAGTGATTAGAGGTTTAAAATGTTTGATAATGACATATCTATGATCATCGATAGCAATGATATTTTCTCTTTGTTTTGTTAGATTTGAACATTTTTTTCTACATATGAATTTCGCTCATCAATGTATTTATATAAATGTTTTCAAATGTTTTAAGTAGCTATAATTTATTATTTAATCATATGGTCATTTCCTATAAAAATCCATCGAATAACTATTTGTTTTTCGAAATTATAAATTAATTTATTACTTTTGATCATGATCATGATAAGGATTTTGAAATGAATCCAATTGATTTAAATCCAAATTTTCTAATAAGGAATTGCCATCACATTGCATTCATCATCACTAGCTAGTAATTTTAGTAGTTGATGAAAATATTGACCAATATATCGGAAATAATTTTTTTTTCTATTTCTACTTGGGTCATCAATGATATATAAATCAAACTTATGATGATGATAATGTTTGATGACAATGATGTTGAAATGTATTCCATTGTCATGAAAACTAACATAATACTTTCTGACCGATAAATTATTTTTACAAATGGAATTTGTTTTTTTTTTTTGATGTTTACAAATGTCAAATCCAAAAAATGGCCCTGTTTTTTCACTAGAATTTCAATCATTTGATTGTTGTTCATTGTCATTTTGTCATTTTGTTTTTTGTATCAACAAAGGTGTCGTAAAATTTCTCGATCATCACTTATTTCATTGTATATACAATAGAGATTATGAAATAAAAAAACATTCCAGAGATACCATTCCTTTTTTTTTGAAAAGTAATAACATTTGAACATTTTTTCCGGTCATTTTTTAGTCCAGAGACTGAAACTTAAAAACGACAGCCACAAAATGTCAATGGTTTCATATAATGAAAATAAAAATTAACAGTGACCAAAAAAAAAAAAATTGTATTTGAAATGAATGAAATATTTAAGAGGAAATAAAGAAAAAATGTTGACAATTTGACATCCACATGGAGCAAATACCCTTTCCTTGTGTGGTATTTGAAAATAAAATTGAAAATTTGACAATAGTATATTTTCAATTGTCAAAATGACTTTTTTTTTTTTTTTTTACTTTTCTATCTTTGTTCATTTCTCCACAATGAAATGTAATGTAAGAAGAAATAATAAACTTTTGTTTTGAATCAAAAGAATATGAGTCTAGTTTCAAATTATTAGATTCTATTTCCTATCCACTAATAATAACTAATGGTTACATTTACAATCATTTATGAACTAAATATATTGTAGTTTTTGTAGCAATCATTACTTGATGATGATGATGATGATGATAATCAAATAAAATGTGAACAAAAAAAAGTGATATTCACATATAATAAGGAAACCATAATCATATCCATTCGTTGACAACATCAGATATTTTTGTTGTCTAATGACATAATGGTTCTCATTCATTTTGGATAAAATTCAAATCAATTAATAGAAAGTTTCGATAATGTCGACGTTTATATATATAAAAATCATCTATATCACTAGAACAGTGATTCTCAACCTTTTTTTTGTTGCGGCACACATTTTACGATTTCAAAATTTGGCGGCACACAAAGAAAAAGAACTGCGTAAAATAGATTATGATAATGATTTTAAATGTGCTAAATAAAATATATATATATATAAAAATCATGTAGTGTATTTGTTGTTAATTCGTTTATTCCAGTTCAGAATCGAGAAAATGACAAATCCAACCTAACACGATCAGTTCAGAATTCAAAATTCACAATCGAGAAAATGACAAGTCCAAACTAACACGACCAGTTCAGAATTCAAAATTCACAATCGAGAAAAAGGCAAATCCGACCTAACACGATCAGTTCAGAATCGAGAAAATAACAAATCCAACCTAAGACGACCAGTTCAGAATTCAAAATTCAAAATAAAAAAAAATAACAAGTCAAACTTAACACGACCAGTTCAGAATTCAAAATCAAAAAAATAACAAATCCAACCTAACACGAGCAGTTCAGAATTCAAAATACAGAATCGAGAAAATAACAAATCCAACCTAACACGATCAGTTCAGAATCGAGAAAATAACAAATCCAACCTAAGACGACCAGTTCAGAATTCAAAATTCAAAATAAAAAAAATAACAAGTCAAACTTAACACGACCAGTTCAGAATTCAAAATCAAAAAAATAACAAATCCAACCTAACACGAGCAGTTCAGAATTCAAAATACAGAATCGAGAAAATAACAAATCCAACCTAACACGATCAGTTCAGAATCGAGAAAATAACAAATCCAACCTAAGACGACCAGTTCAGAATTCAAAATTCAAAATAAAAAAAATAACAAGTCAAACTTAACACGACCAGTTCAGAATTCAAAATCAAAAAAATAACAAATCCAACCTAACACGAGCAGTTCAGAATTCAAAATACAGAATCGAGAAAATAACAAATCCAACCTAACACGATCAGTTCAGAATCGAGAAAATAACAAATCCAACCTAAAACGACCAGTTCAGAATTCAAAATCAAAAAAATGGCAAATCCAAACTAACACGACTAGTTCAGAATCGAGAAAATAACAAATCCAACCTAACACGAGCAGTTCAGATGGTTAGTTATTGGAATTAGTTACCAGAATTGGTTGGTTTCTATACCGTTTTTTAGATTCATTAAAAATTATTTTCAATGATGAATTGTGTTTTCCAAGATTCAGAGTTAAATAATGTTTGTTACATTTAATTAATTCGATATGTATCGGATGTTCTGCCATTGAAGATGAACTGGTCGTTTTAGTTTGGACTTGTTATTTTTTCGATTCTGAACTGGTTGTGTTAGGTCGGATTTGCCTTTTTCTCGATTGAGAATTTTGAATTCTGAACTGGTCATGTTAGTTTGGACTTACCATTTTTTCCATTTTGAATTTTGAATTCTGAACTGGTTGTGTTAGTTTGGATTTGCAATTTTCTCGATTGTGAATTTTGAATTCTGAACTGATCGTGTTAGTTTGGATTTGTTATTTTCTCGATTCTGAATTGGTCGTGTTAGGTTGGATTTGTTATTTTCTTGATTTTGTACTGATCGTGTTAGATCGGATTTGCCTTTTTCTCGATTGTGAATTTTGAATTCTGAACTGATCGTGTTAGTTTGGATTTGTTATTATCTCGATTCTGAACTGGTCGTCTTAGGTTGGATTTGTTATTATCTCGATTCTGAACTGGTCGTGTTAGGTTGGATTTGTTATTTTCTTGATTTTGTACTGATCGTGTTAGGTCGGATTTGCCTTTTTCTCGATTGTGAATTTTGAATTCTGAACTGATCGTGTTAGTTTGGATTTGTTATTATCTCGATTCTGAACTGGTCGTGTTAGGTTGGATTTGTTATTTTCTTGATTTTGTACTGATCGTGTTAGGTCGGATTTGCCTTTTTCTCGACTGTGAATTTTGAATTCTGAACTGGTCGTGTTAGTTTGGATTTGCCATTTTCTCGATTGTGAATTTTGAATTCTGAACTGATCGTGTTAGTTTGGATTTGTTATTTTCTCGATTTTGAATTCTGAACTGGTCGTGTTAGTTTGGACTTGCCATTTCTAGAATCTAGCACTTTTTGTAAAACATTGATTAATAAAAAATTGTTTAAAGAAGAATTGCTTTTATTTGTTTGTTTAATTATACTTATTTTTCCTATGTTGGTTCCACTACAAACAATTCGCACAACTATTAAGAGATATTTGACTAATCGAAGTACATGTTTTTGATTCAGGATTACCATAATATTCAAATGTATCAAAACAAAAAATATTTTCATTTTATTAAATCTAAAATTTGGCGGCACAATCTTAGAATTTCGCGGCACACAAAAGTGCCGCGGCACAGTGGTTGAGAATGACTGCACTAGAACATATTCACAATTGAAAAGAAACGATGATGATTAGCAGCAAGTCATACATTCACTATATGCTCACATATACTTGATCGATGAACGAGCGATAAACGATCCATAAATTGATTGATTATTAATTTAATTAATGATTACAAAGGAAAATTGTTAAATGATCATCTATGCATAGTTACGTTTTTTTGTTTTGCTTTTATTCTTCAATTCTATTATCGAAAATGAATTCAAAGAATCATGCAAAAAAAAGAAATGATGATGAACAATATTTCATTCATTCTATTCTCAATCTCAACTATGCAGCTGTTTCTGAAAATATTGTCTCATTCAATTCAATATAGCGTAAATGAATAAATGTTCTATAGAAACAATGTGCAAAAAATTTGAATTTAAAAAATCCTTCCATGAATCTATTTGTTTCATTGTAATCCAATTCATTCATTTTTCAATTCAATCATTTCTAGTTTTTTTTTTTTTTGATTTTCAAAAACGAAAGATGAAAACCAATTTAAAATTCTCGTTTTCTTCAACACACTAGTACGTACAAATACAGAAAAAAAATCTTTTTGTGATTTAGAAACGGCAAAAGTAATGCATTTTTTTCTTGAAAATCTTGTTCTTTAGTCCAATTTTCACATCCGATTCATACCAGTTAATAGGTTTTTTTTCGGTTCTCACAAAAAAAAATCACAAACAGTGATTTAATCCCAGAGCTTTGTTCTCTGTGATG